TTAGTAGGTCAGTTTTTTTTATGGTCATTCGCTGCCGGTATGCTCAACAAGTGAGGACCGAGATCGTCATTAGCTTACCACTCACACCAAAACTTTCCTCATATTTCTCACTGTAGGAAGCGGGGTACATTCGAAAAATAACTCGATCGGTAGCCAACAACAACTACCGGCTGTCAAAACACTCGATGCTTCTCCGTTTCTAGAACTGCTACTTTTCAGAACGGCGCTGTCGACAGCCTTGCTAGCTGACAGTTACTACTGGTAACATTAGGCCATTTTCTGTTGATTTTACCCCACATTGCTGTGTGGAATATCGTGAGGAATTTTGACTGTGGCACCCGGTTTTGTGCACTGACTTTTAATGATTCAGAAGCAGTACGGTACTTCACGCTCACATCTGAAAACATTCCAAAGATTGGCACGAATGCGGAAGAACGATGAGACGCTCAATACGGGACTGATCACTATTGGTCAACTTATCGACAGTGGTTTCACAATTGTCCGGCATCCGGATGAGCAGAATAGCACTACCGGAAAGGTAAGCACGCTTTTCTCTCTTCACCAGTTATAATAGAAAGATGTTTTCTTGGGAAAATTTTTCAGCTACTTTGAGAATGAGTAAACAAAAAGACTTGAAAAGTTGTGTGTTTGGACCGGAACATTTGAGTAAAGAATTTTTACCAGTTTGATCAAGTCTTGCTGGGTCTGGCCACTCCTCACTTCATTAGTTTCTGACCGTCCAGTTTTGTTATTTCAAAACTACAGCTCGGCCTTACAATTACCATAGATGACAATTTCCTGTCAGTCCTGGAGGTCCAACAATTTCGTGGCGTTAAATTTTTACAAAGTTTATACGGTCACATCCTGTTCTTGCAACTGCATGCCGTTGTCGTAAGAGATTTGGATGAATCCCAGCAATTCCTGCCACCAATTCAGCTGAGCAATAATACCGAACTGTTATTATTTCCGATCATATCATTTTCTTATCATAAGCAGAGACCTGAGTCTTTGCTTATCACGCGAAAGCGTAGGAGAGCCGGAGCAAGAAACAGGGGATCGGCTAACTTTATTCATTACTCATATTTGCCACTTGATCATTTTGTAATTTATGGATAACATAATAGACTAAGAGAACCATTAGCAGGAACCCTGAATTTCCTTAAAAGCGGGGAACTGAGCATTCATCCCACATTTTCTTTTGTAAAGTTGATGAATAGAAAATAATTGGCCAACGCACGGGCTGCCCGTGCGAAGATGCGTTTTTTGCACGGGTCCCCGTAGATTTTTGTCGCTAACGGCACTGGTTTTTCTGGCAGATGCTTCTAGCTAAAAGAATTT